AGGAGACAAGTTAGTACCCGACGATGACGGCCAGCCGCTGTTTGGGTGAGTTGTGATAACTTCTCGTTCACCAGTCCCAACACCCGTTCAGCTTGAGGATCGACAAACCGACCATCGGAAAGTCTATGCGTCCGATCAACCAGCTCAATGATGGACGGTTTTCGTCCCATTTCCCGTTGCTACAAATATAATATATAAAAAATATTAAATTAATATATAATTATAATTTTTGATAAATTAATAAATAAAATTCATACCAATTCTTTCGCCCGTTTTCTGAAAGATTTGGCGCCAGAAGTATGACGATGAGGACCATCTCCTTCAACTTGTTGGCTGAGACGACTCTCTCTAGCTTTTCGACTCTTGTCTCTGAAATGATCTGAAACATATTCACTAGGGATGGACTTATATGTAATGAATCTGACGAGGATACGATGCTCGATGTCGAGACAACACTGGATGCTTTCGATAGTCGCACCGTTCCCATCATCGATCCTGATCGCGATGATGGATTATGGTATAATTATAATATTTTTATTTTTATTTTATTGAATTTACTAACTAATATGTTTATGTTATGTATGTTTGGAGTTAATGATGATCAGATAAAAAGCGCTCTAACTAGAATAATTACAGCTCGTATGCCTCAACTGTATTATTCTTGGACTGTAACTCCAGACCACATTCGCCAGCAGTGGTGGCTATCTTTTATTGTAAGTATTAAAATATAATATTAATTCGTTATAATCTAATTATTAAATTAGTTCTAATGTGTATATTTTTTTCTAGCTAACTTTTCGGTGGAAAAAATCGATCACCGAAAGAGTTTACAAGGAGTTTAACGTGTTGGACCAGACGAGAATCAAATTTCTCATGAGCAATGCAAAGCGAAAGTACGACAAAAAGGGGGAGAGACCATTGTGGGCGACAGATGACATCTTCAACGCTCTTTTAGCGCGTTGGAATTCAGATCATTTCAGAGACAAGAGTCGAAAAGCTAGAGAGAGTCGTCTCAGCCAACAAGTTGAAGGAGATGGTCCTCATCGTCATACTTCTGGCGCCAAATCTTTCAGAAAACGGGCGAAAGAATTGGTATGAATTTTATTTATTAATTTATCAAAAATTATAATTATATATTAATTTAATATTTTTTATATATTATATTTGTAGCAACGGGAAATGAGACGAAAACCGTCCATCGTTGAGTTGGTTGATCGGACGCATAGACGTTCCGATGGTCGGTTTATCGATCCTCGAGCTGAACGGGTGTTGGGACTGGTGAACGAGAAGTTATCACAACTCACCCAAACAGCGGCTGCAGTTCATCGTCGGGTACTAACTTGTCTCCTGCTGATCAAGACAAGTGTTATGTTGAGGCATCTACGATTTAGGAGGCCTCCAGAGAGATTTGCTGCAAGATTTTGGATCGCCGGTTCATCCGCAAGTACAGATCGATACCGACCAATAACGTCGAATAGAACAACTTGAACGATCGCTCCAACATCAGAAGAAGAGACGGAGCGGCAGATGACGGAACAACAGGCGAAGATAACTAATCTTGAACACATGATCGAGCTGCTTAGAGGAGTTCATCCTCCACCTCCCTCAATGACACCTTCAGCCGGCGGAACCTCCAGCGTTCGAACTCCCGGAACCACCGAAGATGAAGAAACCGAAAGTTTGAATTAGTTTTCGGTTATCTAATTTTATAATTTGTATCGAACATCGTTTAATTATATGGTTTAATATTTTTAATTTAAATATTTATATTTTAAATTTTTTTTAATATATAAATATATATATTTATAAATAATATATATATTTATAAATAATATATATATATATATATATATATTATATGACGTGAGAGGGTTAGCTCTGTCTGATCTCCGTTGCTATTATCAACGGACTTGTATCGTTGATAATGCGTTGACATTTTCAATGACTGGTAACAGATTTTGGATTTCAACGACCGTATTGCAACGGGTGACGTCTATTGAAAATTCCATTGAAAACGTTGATTTTCAACAGATATTTGGGCTATTTCAACGGAAAAATCCGTTGATATTAGGGGTTTTTTTTGTAGTGGCTGTGGGAACCACGATTTCCCACTCTGCCTCACAAAGATAATCCGGCACGCTCAGCTTTGGCATGACCCGTGTTACGGACGATCGATGCCTTGACAGGCTCTCTAGTAATGGGAGATACACGCTTAGCATTACATAAACAAGGGATTTTCGAAACCACACTTTGATCAAGCATCTACTTTCAAGCTATGAGAACCACCATTTCTCCATCTTACCTCACCAAGATAGCACGACACACCCAGCTTTGGCATGGCCCATGACACGTACGATCGAGGCCTTGACAAGT